TGATTCGTACTTCATTAATGCTAGGCGCGCGGCGACGAGGAGACGCGCCGTTCCTTAATGGAGTGCGGCCTTGATTCGTACTTCATTAATGCTAGGCGCGCGGCGACGAGGAGACGCGGCGTTCCTTAATGGAGTGCGGCCTTGATTCGTACTTCATGCATTCGTGCTAGGCGCTCGACGAGGAGGAGACGCGGCGGGCGGCGCGGCCGCCGCCGCCGCGCTGGCGCGAGGGGGACACGTTGTGCTGGGGACATGTCCGGGACACGTCCGCGACATGTCCGGTCCATGTCCCAAACAGGCGCGAGGCGTACTCGGCGCGTCTGCTCGCATTCACTGTTGGTCGACTGATTAATGGATGGGCTAGGCGCGAGGCGTACTCGGTGCGTCTGCTCGACGCGGAGTCGTGGGCGACGGAGGCGTCGTACGCCTTGCGCGAGGACGAGTGGGTCATGTGCATGCGGCTGCTGCCGCTGCGAGACGCGGCGCCGCGTGCTGTGACGCACCGCCGCGTTGATTAATGAAGTAATGAATCAATTCGTGACTGTGCGCCGTAGGCGACGCGTGCTGTGACGCACCGCCTCGTCGTCGGCACGGCGCTCCTCCCGAGGGCGAGATATGGGGAGATATGGGGAGATATGGGGAGATATGGGGAGATATGGGGAGATCGCGCATCTCTCCTCCCGAGGGCGAGATATGGGGAGATATGGGGAGATATGGGGAGATATGGGGAGATCGCGCCCCTCTCCTCCTCGAGGGCGAGATATGGGGAGATATGGGGAGATATGGGGAGATATGGGGAGATATGGGGAGATCGCGCCCCTCTCCTCGTCGAATGAGTTGACGGGAGTCAGTCCGAGCATTCCCATGCCACAGGCGATCCAGCAGGGCGAGGACCGCATGTGTTGCGGCCGGCTGCTCATCCTCGCGCCGGACGACTCGCCGCCCTCCTCCTCCTCCTCCTCGCCGCCGAAGAAGGCGAAGGCTGGCGGAGAGGGCGGAGGCGGCGACGCAGACGCCGGCTCGCCCGCCGCCACGCACGAAGCCGCCGCCGCCGCCGCCGCCGCCGTCGTTGCCAACGGCGAGGGGGGCGTCGCGGGGGCGGGCGGCGCGGGGGCTGCAGGGGGCGCGGGCGGCGCGGCGGAGGGCGGTGCGCCGGCGGGCGGCGAGAGCAGACGGCGCCTCAAGCTGCTGTTTGAGCAGGAGGAGCGAGGGCCGTCTGCTGCGAGCTGTGAACAGCGTCTCTTCACAGCGCTGCCTGTGAACAGGAGGAGCGAGGGCCGGTGACGGCACTGGCGGCGATGCAGGGCGCGACCCCCCCCCCCCCCGAGATGTAGCCGAGATACAGCCGAGATATAGCAGAGATATAGCAGCGATGCAGGGCGAGCCCCCCGCCTGCGGTGTGTGGGAGGAGGCGGGCGCGAGAGAGCACGCACCGAGCAAGCGCTTGTGAGATCAGGCATGCTGCTCTGCGCCGTCGGCCAGAAGATCTCGATCTGGAAGGCGGGGGCGGGGCGTCATTAGTTAGTGAGTAGTTCGTGAGTTAGTTCGAAGATCTCGATCTGGAAGGCGGAGCGGGGAGAGCTGCGTCCGGCGGGCTTCCACTACGCCGGGTTCACCGCCTCGTGCGCCGCGACGCTCGGCAACTACGCCCTGCTTGGCGACGCGTGCCGCGGGCTGCAGCTGGTCGCGTGGTCAAAGGAGAAGAAGTGCTTCGAGGCGCGCTCGCAGCGGCGCGACGCCGCCTCCGCCTTTGCGTGCGAGATGACGCTGGACGAGGCGGGCCCGCACGCCGCCAACGGACTCACCCACTCAGAGAATTAATTTCGTCAACCTGAGTCAGTTCGTTTCAGGCGGACCCGCACGCCGCCGACGGACTTCTTAAAGTACATGTCAATTTCGTTAAGACCACGCAGTGGATTTCAGGCGGACCCGAACCCTGCCAACGGGCTGCGCGTCTTCCTCGCGGACGCGGGCCGCAACCTGCGCATCTACTCGTACTCGCGTCAGGACGCCGAGTCCCGCTCGGGCACGGTGCTGCTGCCTCGCGCCGCCTTCCACCTCGGCGCCGTCGCCAACCACTTCCTCCGCCTCTCGCTGCCGCCGCGCGGCGCGCCGCCCGCCGCCGCCGCCGCCGCCGCCGGCCGGCGGAGGCACGCGCTGCTCTACTCGACGCTCGACGGCGCCATCGGCTGCCTCGCGCAGGTGGGGCGAGATGGCCCGAGCTGGCCCGAGAGTGCCCGAGATGGCCCGAGATTACCTCGCGCAGGTGGGGCAGCCGTGTCCGGGGCGAGCTCTCGGCGAGATCTCGGCGAGATCTCGGCGAGATCTCGGCGAGATCTCGGCGAGACGTCGGCAGATCTCGGCTGTACTCGCGCAGGTGGAGGAGGCGGCCTTCCGACGGCTCTACTTTCTGTCCACAAAGATGGTTGCGACGATGCAGCACGCCGCCGGCCTCAACCCGCGCGGCTTCCGCGCGCAGGGCTCCGGCGCCACGGCCGAGGGCGAGCTCTCGCAAGTCATCGACGGCGCGCTGCTGCGCCGCTTTGTCTCGCTCGGCTCGGCGGCGCAGGAGCGGCTCGCGAGGCAGATCGGGACGTCGCCGCAACAGCTGCTGGCGAACCTCTCCGAGGCGGAGGTGGCGTCGGCCTTGCTGTGACGGGCGGCTGCGAGGCGTGCAAGAGAGTCTCCTCAACTTCGCCGCGCGGACTTGTGCGCGGTCGGACGCGTGGCCGCGGCCGCCTGCTGGCGTGGCTCGCCGCGGAGACGCCACCAAAACGCAACGGAGCGTCGGCGGGCGCCACATGGGCCATGGCGGATTTGATGCGAAAAAAGACTGTTCCTGTTGAAAAGGATGGGGAGCTAGCAGCTACCTGCTCCGGCGACACTAGGGACTCGGGCCTGAGCCCACACAAAACCGGATTTGATGGCGGGCGCTGACGATCGTCGCGTCCTGGGCAGCTTTTGGGCACGTCCAGGCGTCGGGGTTGGGGCTTGTCTCGGTGGCGGCTTGGGGGGTAACTGGTCTTACTTGCTTACCAGTGAGAAGAAAGTACGTACCGCGCCTATATGGCGCTGACCTGTGCGCTCTCTCGTCTATCGAGGGCGTCCACAGAGTGGAACAAGCTAGCTCGGGTGGCGTCTGGGACTCGCTGAGTGCGCGCTGGCGACTGAAGCATCCCTCTCGTTTCAACTTCGAACTTGTGAGGTTGTGTACTCTCCGTCTGTCAGTCAGCTGTTTCGGCTCAGTAAGTCGCGATTTGTACCGCGGATTTATTTCGATGTTAGTGGCAAAAGCCAAAACCTCTACTGCGGAACCGAAAATGGCGTTTAACTTCGCTCGCACCTGCAAAAGCTGCATATGCTGTCCGCCGCCTGCGGCGGCGCTCTGCGCGCCGCTTGCCGCTTTGGGGCGCCTGCTCCCTGCGGCGCCCTTGCGTTTGGCGCGCTGCGCGCGCGCCTGTTTTGGGGGGGCTACCAGCACCGAAGAATTGCCACATTTTCGACGCTTTTGTCCCACATACTCGCACACCGACCCTGCAATCTGTGTGCAGACGCAGTCAGAAAGAGAGTGCAAAGGAGATCGATTATGAATATGCGGGGTGCGCGAGAGCTCTCACTGACTCATCACTGTCTTATGCACAGCTTCGCGGCCACTCACTGCGTACAGTCACCGGCTTTGTCTCTCGAGCTGGGCTACGACCATCGGCAAATGGGGTCGCAATCACTTTCCATCCCGGGAAGAATGCCATCATTCGGGAGATCCGGGTTTGCGATGTTGTAGCACTTCTTCGAGCACAGCGGCCAGTCTTCTGGCCTGCTCATGTCGTCGAGCAGGCCGTCGCTGTCGACCTCACGGCCGTCAGGACAGTAGGCTAGCTCGGACTGGCAGTCACCTCTCGCCCAGTTGCCGACTATTCGATACTTCCCTTCGAGTGCACCTCCGAGCTCGGACGTTGCAAAATAGTGGTTGCCGTTTTCCGGCATGAGTTGGATGATCAGCCCCGCAAGCCTCGAGGAGCAGTGTATAAAATCTTGTCCGTTTGGATCAGGCCCTTGCACAAAGCTCCTATCCGTCGCATCCACGTCTCCCGCAACGCTCCTCGGCCCCGTCGCATTCGAGTAATCCCGATTCGATCCAGGGGTGGGCCGCCCATCGTCAGCGGCGGCAGCTCGTGCCTGCCGGCGAGCGGCACGGCTCAGTGTCATCTCGCCCCATCGCACGCCAACGCCACCGTTCTACTCGCCTCTCTCTCTCTCTCTCTCAGCGGGAGACGCGCGCCAGTGGCTGTCCGAATCGGCCGCGTCCGCCGCGTCGTTCACCGCCATGCCCGGCCGGCACCCGGTCTGCCGCGCGAAGCACAAGTAGGCGTTCATGATGAAGGCCACGTTCACCTCGAACGGCTCCATCAGCTGCGTGTCCTGCATCTGGTACTCTCCCACCTGGAAGAGGTGCTGCCTCGTGCACGGCTTCGTCGTCGCCTCGCGCAGCTCGGCCATCGTCCGCCGGCTCGCCACCGCGCTCGCCCTCTCGCTCGCCGCCCGCTGCGCCGCCTCACTCTGCCCGTGCGACGCGCTCTCCTGCGCCGCCTCGCGGCCCGCCGCCCGGCCGGCGGCTCCTGCCGCGTCCTTCATCCCGCCGCCGCCGCCGTCGTACAGCGACATCACCTGCTTGGTCACCAGCCGCCAGTACTGCCTCGCGTCGTCCGGCATCGCCGGCCAGATCTCGCGCCACACGTGGTTCTTCATGTGCTGCAGCGCGACGTAGACCGTGTTCTCGCCGCGCCCCGTGCGCACCGTCGGCTCCTCGTCCCGCGCGTCGCCCCGCTCGGTCGCGTGCCACCGGCTCGCCCTCGGCGCGGTAATTCGCGTCGTCGCCAGCCACTTGCCGAAGCGGATCGTCCACCGCACCGTCGGGTGCAGACCGAGGGCCGTCCGCTGCATCGGCACGCTCTTCCCCGCCGCGGCCTGCGTCGCCAGGAACTCGCGCAGCCGCAGGCGCACGCGCCGAAGCTGCACTGACAGCGCCGGCCCGTGTGGCGCTAGCATCGGCCGCCCATCGCCGCACGCGGCCTCCTCCTGCCGCTCGTCATCCTCCGCCTCGAGGGCGTCCGCCAGCGCGCTGCGCTGCACACCCCGGCGCACAGGAGGCGGCGCCGGCCGCACCTCGGCCGCCTCGGCGTCGCCCGCGGCACGGGCGCCCCGCTCGCCGTCCGCGCGGTCCATCGCCGCATCCCCATCCCCGTCTGCGGCGGCGCCTCCTGCGCCCGTGCCGGCCTGCTCTGCGACGGCTCGCCACCGCTCGTCGTCCAGCATGTGCCACCACCGCCGATCCGGGTAGCCGTCGTACTCGACCTGGTGCGCGATCCGTCCGTCCCCGTCCTCCTCCCGCGCCATGACGGTCGCAGGGTACCACCGCTCACTGTCGCAGAAGATCTCGAGGCGCGATCCGGTGGACAGGACAGTGTGGCCGTCGAGCGCCGCCCTGGCATCCTCGCGCTGTCGCTTCCGCCGCTTCGCCTTCGTCTCCTTGCTGCGCAGCAGGGTGTAGTTCGGGCCCACCTCCGCCACGCTGTCCAGCAGCTGGGCGGCGCTCGCCATCTCGACCGCGTCGTCCTCCGGCGGAAGCTCCGCGTCGCCCGCGGCCGATTTCCGAGCGCGCTCGTCGCGCATCCGCTCGTGGTGGGCCTGCCGACGCGCCACGCCGGCGCCCGTGTGCCTCGCCGCCGCGTCCGGTGACGGCATCGGTCGCTGCCACAGGTCGTCCCACAGGTCGTACCAACAGGTCGTCCCAAAGGGGACGCATCCAAACCGCCGCATTTCGCCCGCCGAAAAGTCTCCCACTCGCTCTGCCCCAATCTCGAACCAATCTCGAGTCCTGCCTTTTTCGACGATGTGAGGGAAGCTAAGGTGTACAGCCACATTGAAAAGCTTCAAAACGAGACGCACCCCACCGCACATCACCACAGGAAGCAAGAGGACCTTCTCAACGCAGCAAAAGACTACTTTGGCGGAGAGGGAAAGGTGTTCAACCGTGGCCCAAATCTCGATAGGGCGCGTGTCGAGGAATGCCGAAGGGCCCTTTTGGGCGCACTGCGCACCGACAAGCGCACCTTGCCGGAAGAGCTCCGTAGCCAGCTGAGTCTTACTGTGACCTCAGATTTTTTAGCAATGTTTGTTGTTGTTGACCTCAGAGCATATGCATTATTCTGAATTTTTGTTTGTTTTTTTCTTGTTTTTCTGAATTTCAATGTATGTGGCTCTTACGTATTTTCTGAATTTACAACGATTGATTCTGGAATTTCAACTCACGTTGCGGTCTGACGAGCGGGTAGCGGACGACGCATATCAGGGTACGGGCTGTACGGGCTGTCACCTTCCTTTTTTTCTTCCTGCCTCGCAAGAAAGAAAGAAAGAAAGAAAGACACCAGACAACCCCAGACGAGGGATGGGGGAGGAGGACAGGGTCCCCACCTGCACGAGCAGGATTTTGGAAGGACGATCAGGGGGACAGGTGGGGAAAGAAAGAAAGAAAGAAAGAAAACACACAACCCAAGGGAGGGATGGGAGAACGGCACGCCGCCACCACACAGGGATTTTAAGGAGAGGAGGGTGTGATGCGCTAGCCGTCGCCCACCCTGGGGGGTCTGCCTCCTCGTATCTCTTTTCGCAGTCTCTCGCCGCTTCTCGCTGCAACCTTCATGCCACCTCGCGGCTGTCCCACTCTCGTCGTTCTCTCCCTTGTCACTTCCCCCTCTGTCGCGTCGTTCTCTTCTGCCTCGTCCTGCGACGCCGCCGCCTGCCGGTCCCTTGTTCTCGCGGCTTCTTTCGCCTCTCGGCGCAACTCCGTCCTCCTTGCGGCGTATCCTGGCCCCTCGAGTCTATCGAGCTCCCCTCGCGCAAGGACCACATTTCTGACTCCCACTCCGATCATTTGCCTCCAAGTCATGTTGTTGCTCAGGTCCACTCTCTCTTCGAACACTCGTGCCTCTACGGATGATGCCGGCGCTGGGGTCCCCTTCGGATGCATCGTGACATCTGACAACTGAATTTCCACTGGTTCGTCCTCCTCTGAGTCATCTTCCCCGTCCTCCTTCCGCTCGGCTCTTCGCTCGGTACGTTCGGTGTGGCTCACCCTCCATGCCGTGAACAGGCGCTTTATCCACCCTATATTCTTCTCTCGTTCCTCTGCCCGTGCCTTGGTCTTGTCGTTCGGACTCAGGGCCGGTGCTTTGACGCAGTATATTGTACTTCGAGGTAGTATGAACTCAGAACGGCCCCCCGAGAGCGCCTCTTCGACGCCCACGGGTCCCAGGGGGTCGGAGGGGTTGCGAGAGGGTTTGGGCTATTTTTTGTTTGAATCCCGGAGGCCGTTCGAACATATAACGTGCGTTCCACGTGCCCGTCCCCAGCAAGGACAACATGCTAGCCCAGCAGGCCGCTCTCACCGCCGCCCGCGGCGTAGGCAAGGCGGCAAAGGGTGGCAAGGGCGGCGGCAAGGGCGGTGGCAAGGGTTGTGGCCGTGTGGCGCACCAGACCCACTTTGCGCCGCCGCCCTCAACGCCCGATACTCGGTTGAGCCGGCGGAGCGACGGCGGCAGAGTTGCGGCCGCCGGCGACCTCACACGGCGTCGAGCGCCGTAGAGACGGCCCCGAGAGCCGCCGCCAGGTGTGCCACGACCGCGGTCGCGAGGCTCGTGGCGATGGATGCGCCAGATCCGCTTGCGCCGCCGCCCTCAACGCCCGATACTCGGTCAGAGCCGGCGGAGCGACGGCGGCGGAGTTGCGGCCGCTGGCGACCTCACACGGCGTCGAGCGCCGTAGAGACGGCCCCGAGAGCCGCCGCCAGGTGTGCCACGACCGCGGTCGCGAGGCTCGTGGCGATGGATGCGCCAGATCCGCTTGCGCCGCCGCCCTCAACGCCCGATACTCGATCAGAGCCGGCGGAGCGACGGCGGCGGAGTTGCGGCCGCCGGCGACCTTCCCCTCGACCACGCCGCCGACCCGTCGACAAGCACGTGCGGACTGCCATCGAGAAGAAGGAGACGGAGGGCGGCGCATCCGGAGCCCGCGGGCGCAGCGGGCGCGGGTCCGGGCGCGGGCGGGCGCGCGCGGGAACCCCGCCAGCGGAGGCGACAATGCCTCTGGCGGCTCTGCAGGCGGCGCGCGGCGCGCCCCTCGCCGGTCTCCCGCACGCTCCTGAGGGCCGAGAGGGCCGAGAGGCGGGGTCGGTGACCCGGGGGCATGGGCGGTGCGGCCCGCGCCGCGCGCGGGCGCGTGACAGCCCGTGAGTGCCGAGATCGGGTCCGTACTTCGACGTAGTATGGGCCCCCGGGGGCCCATCTACAGCAGCGGCGAAGTGAGCGTGTTTGTGGTGTTGGTGTGGCGTCTGAGCTTGGATCTGTGACTAAAGCCGGTTACCACTGATGGATCCCCACCCGAATAACACACAGTGAGCGCCCCAGCGCTTCACTACGCCCTCCGCGCGAAATCTCGCTAGTGCTGTGAGAAAGTATATTGTACTTTTGAGTAGTACGGGTACGGTTCCCGAGACCGAGCGATCCCACGATTGCGGATGTGGGGACTACGTGATTACATGAAGGGTGGAGGGGCCCGTCTGCAGAAAGAATTCTTAACCAGAAGCCTCTCTCACAGCACGCTGGCACGACAAGGGCGCGGACTGGCGAGGACTACCGGCTCCCACCAAGAAGTACAAAAGAAGAAAGAGCGCCCGCGCGCTGAGCCACAGGTGCTCGGGCCGTGGTTCAGCTGGTCCCGTATCGCCGGGCGCCGACGGCGCCGCTGCGCAAAATTCATAGTGCACGACGAGCCGACCGCAAAGCAAGCGTGCTCACAGAGCCCCGGCAGCTTGGAGCCGGCAGAGCCCCGGCAGAGCGTGAGCACAGAGCCCCGGCACATGGAGCCGTTCGGTGATGAGCCTCTCGTCCTCGGCCCGTCTTCTTCGCGGCGAAGCAGCGGCTCGCAGGGCGCTTGCTGGAGCCACCCCGTCGCCGTGGTCGTTTGCTGCGCCAGCCTCGGCCTGCTGGCCGGCTGGGGGCTGTCGTCCTGGCAGCCGGCGGACCCGGCAGCCAAGAGGAGCGCCGTGCGGTGGGTCGGCCTGGTTGGCGACCTCTTCCTGCGCGGGTTGCGCTGCGTCGTGCTGCCGCTGGTATTCGTGAGCGTGACGCTCTCCGTGGCCGACATGCTGGCGAGGGGCAAGGCTGGCGAGGTCGTGAGGCGGACCATTCTCCTCTACCTGACCACGACCGTCGCGGCCGCGAGCATCGGCGTCGGCACCGCGCTGGTCTTCTCCCGCCTGTTCCTTCCGTCGCACGCGCCCGGCGCGACGGCGGCGGGAGACGCCGAGCTCGCCAACCTCTCGCTCAGCGACACGCTGTACGAGGGCGTCTTCCTCAAGCTCGTCTCGTCCAACCTCACCGCCGACTTTGCCGCCTCCAACTTCGCGTCGCTCATCGTCTTCGCCGTCGCCCTCGGCTTCGGCCTGCACCACGCGGCGGAGCGCGGCGGCGGCGGCAGCGGCGGCGGAGGAGGCGGCGGCGGCGGCGGCGAGGGAGGCGGAGGTGCGCTCGAGGAAGAAGTGCTCGTGCTGCTGTGTGGATGTGGAGGAGGTTGTGGTGGTCGTCGTGGGCTGCCGGCGGCGGCTCGCGCCCGCCGCCGTGCTCTCGCTGGTGGCGAACGCGCTCGGCCAGCAGGCGGACCTCGGCGCCGCCCTCGCGAACGTGGGCCTGCTGCTCTGCGCCACCGCCGTCGGCTTCTCGCTCCACGCCGCCGCGTACCTCCTCCTCCTCGCTCTGGTCACCCGAGAGAGCCCGCTCCCGTTCCTCCGCCACGTCGTCCCGGCCCAGGTCGTCGCCTTCGCCACCGCCTCCTCCGCCGCCACCGTCCCCGTCACCACGCGGTGCGTCCTCGAGAGCGGGCAGGTGCCGCCGCACATAAGCCGCTTCGTCATCCCCCTCGGCGCAACCCTCAACATGGACGGGGGCGCGCTCTACTTTCCCGTCGCCACCGTCTTCCTCGCCGTCACCGCCGGCCTCGCCGACCAGCTCTCCGTCGCCAGCTACGCCATGCTGCTGCTCATCGCGACCCTCGGCTCGGCCGGCGCGGCGCCGGTGCCGTCCGCAGGTCTCGTCCTGATCGTGACGGCGTACAACACGGTCTTCAGCGCCTCGGGCATCCCGCCCACCTTCTCCTACCTCCTCGCCGTCGACTGGCTGCTTGACCGCCTCCGCACCACGCTCAACGTCACCGGCGACGCCGCCGTCGCGCGGCTGGTGGCGCACTACGAGGCTGCGGAGGCGGCCTCGGCGCGCGAGCGGCGAGCCCGATGCGGCCGCGAGCTAGGAGGGATGGAGGCGGGGCGGATCGGAGGCGGCGGGGCTGGCAGCGGCGGCGGAGGACCTCTGGCGCCGGCGCGAGACCAAGAGGCGAGATCCGACCTCGAGAGCTAACAGGCCATCGCACGTTTTCTTTTCTACTTCCTTTCGTCGTTCATGAAAGTAAAAACGATCAGACACGCTAGGCTCCGCGGCCTCATCAAGTTCGTTTGAGATTTTTTCAAAATAATTTATGACCGCAGCGAATATGTTCACACCTTGAGCGGAGGCCAATTGATTCGCGAGACTCCGGCAAAAAGGGGGTTGGCAACGGGCTTTTGCGGACGCAAGCCTTCAGCTGGTGCCAAAACGTACCAAAACGTCCGTCCCGTCGCGGTCGGTTCTCGGTAGAAATGGCTTGCTTGCAAGAATGGGATGCCGACAGGCACGAATAGCGTTGTTGGCCGCACGGAGGAGCAGGTGCGATCGCACATCAACCTACCAGCGGCGTCCTACGAGGCGGCGTACTGGGTGGAGCGCAACTTGAGCAGCTATGATGAAGTGGTGCGGGACGTGATTTACTTGCGGAGCGGGGCTTCCTTCGAGCGCGAGGCGGAGGCTCCAGCCGCGCTGCACCTTGTGGTGCCGCCCGAGTTGGACAAGCGTGGCTATTGGAAGGGTACTGGATTCACAGGTGTGTATTGGCTGCAGCCCGGCCAGCCAGTGTACGGCCACCCCAGCTACCGACACAGCTACGAAGCGGAACACGGTGACAGCTCGCACCCATCTTTGGGTTCAAAAACTCGTGTCTTGGCAGGGCCGTGCTGGGCTGGACCATATGACACTGACAGGGCGCCGTGGATCACGGTCAGGTTGGCCCGGGCTAGGGGCGCAAGCAGTTGGGCCACCAGTGTACCACAATGGACCGCCGGCTACCGGTTTGTGTACGGCTTTGAGGCTATATTTGCTGCCAAAACGACTGCCGTCACTGGTCCCTGGCACCATGGCTTGCGATGCGAGGCATTAACCGAGGAGGAGGCGCACACGCTGCTAGCTGAGCGCCAGCGTGCCACTCAGGATGCTGGCTCCCACCAGACGAGCTCTCCAGAGTCTTTATTGCAAGGACGGCATCGGCTCGACATCCCCGGGATGCTGGCTCAGGACGAGGCGCTCGCAAAGGCCAAAGCAGCCGATGCCGTCAGCTACGCGCGCCTTCCGGCCCCCACCGCCTCCGCCTCCTCCGCCGCCGCCTCCGCTACCGCCGCCGATGACATGGACCAACGAAAAGCGTGAGCAAGTGCTCTCACTTTCGGGGCCACAAATGCCGCATCGGGTACAGCTGAGGCTAGTCGATCGCGTGTACGAGGTGTTCGAGCAGCACGGCAAGCCTGTCAATCACACCACCGTTGCAGCAGCACTAGGGGAGTCGCATCAATCTGCAGTCCGGTCTGCATTGACTATCGCCCGTGAGCGCTGGCGTGAACAACATCCTGATGCCATGCCGTCCTCGAAAGAGGCACTCGCTGCCGTGAAGGGGCTGACGCAGCAAAGGGGATACATGTACCTCAGCGACAAGAAAATTCACGAGGCGTTGCTGCCACAGCTGCCAGGTCTCACTTTCAAGCAAGTGCGGCGAGCTGCGGCGCGCGTGCGCGATCCACAACGGGCTGTCACAACTTACGGGCAAGAGATCCCGGTGTGGGAAGCGTCGCAGCGAGCCTATGTCTTTCCTTCAACCGGCGAACATGTTGCAGGCGACCAGTGGTCAACTCCCACTAAAGGCGAAGCAGGCCGAACCATGCGGCATCACATAGCATGTGGGCGGCCAAACGAACACGAGCTATCCTAAAGCGTAGACTGGCACTAGATGCGTCCTGGCATCGGGAGGGTCCGCCTAAGAGGAAGTACGTTCGTAAGAACTGATACATATACTTTTTGTGCGTGGAGCGTCTTCCCCTTTTGCGCAGCAACACCTTAAACTTTTAGGCCCTCCAAATTCGGGTCGGAGCGTAGGCCGTAGCGGAGTGGGCCCCGAGTTTGAAAAGGGCGACGGACGCTTGCGTCCTAGCCTCCAACAACGCCTCCCCGGCGCAGAGGGGCCCCCGGAGGGATGCACAACCGCTCCACGCCACGCCGCTTGCGGCGGTCCTCTTCCCAGTTCCGCTGAAAGTCCGTGCGTTATTTTTCACGCCGGCGCTCCGTCTTGAGAACACTTGTGGTTGTCGCTCGCCCCCTCGCTCCGCCTCCGGATACATCCTGCCTGTGTTCATGGACCCTCTCGCCGCGCTGGGCGCGTACGGCGAGGACTCCGATTCTGAGGACGAGGACGCGGCGCCGTCGGCCCTGCATTCTTCCGCCGCGTCCCTCGCAGCGTCCACTGCCGCCTCCGCCGCCGCCGCCGCCGCCGCCACCGCGCCCTCGCAACCGGCGCTCCCGTCGGCCTCGGACCTGGGCCTGCCCGACTCCTGGACCAGCACCGGAGGCGACAGCGACGACGAGCAACCGACCGATCCCAAGGGCACGCGCTACAATGCGGTGCCTCTACCGTCCTCACTCGCCGCGGCGGCGGGTCCGGGGTCGAGGCATTCAAAGTCGCATATGCCGGCCGCGTTACCAATCTCGACTCCGGGCGGACCGGCCGAGCCGCCCGCAAAGCGCCGCGCCGTCGCCGCTCCGCAGGCGGCGAGCGGCGCCAAGAAGGCGCTGCTGCCACCGCAGCTGCGCCGGCCGAATGTGGTGACAGAGGACGCAAGGGCCTGGTCCTCAAAGCAGGGCCGGCCGAAGCCCCGTGAGTGAGTGAGGCGCGCGCATACCCGTACCACTCCTGCGCTCGTTGTGTGGGTTGATGACTGTTCTTGGTTAACAGGGTTGATGACTGTTCGTAAATCCATTGTCTATGATCGCAACCCGCTCAGGCTTGATTTTTCTCGTTGCCTCCAGTCGCGCGGCGCCATCGTCCTCGACCCAGTGCCGGCCTGTGGCAAGCTTGGCAGCTCGCGGATCGATGATCGCCACGAGCTGCTGCCCGACGACCCCGCCGCTCGCCTTCTCGACCGACACGACCGTCCTAACAATCGGCGGCGGTGAGCGGCCACCTCCTTGGCTCAGCGCTGGTGTTATCACGTCTCAGCTGCTTCATTGCCATGTCCAGTTATGGCGGAGACGCGCTGATAGCTTTTCCTGTGCACGCGGTTGGACATGGCCATCGGGTGCGTGGCGCAAAAAGACCTGTTTGCGCTGTCTTCGATCTCAGCGGCTACATGCGCTGCTGCGCGTACCTGTGACGCACACATGTTGCTCACATCCATATACCTCACTAACACACAGCTGGCGAGCCTTGCATCCCTCGTCTGGCCATGCTGTGCATCATCTCACCGTATGCAGCCGTATACGCCCACGGTGCTCACAGGGTCGGGTGTCACGGTGCTCGTGGCAAGCATCTCCGTCACTCTTGTGACTTATGGGCTTGGTGGCGTTGCCTCCGGTGCTACTGCTGGCTAGGGTGCCAATGGCGAGACGGGAGGCGGCCATTGGCGCCACTACACTCTACAGCAACGTCCAACGATTGTTAGGCAGGCCGGAAAATCCATACTGCACCAAGTGCACTCCAAGTGCTCCAAGTGCTCCAGTCGCTTTGCGGCTGCCGGACGATGGCGAGAACGTGCGTCACGAGCTTCTGTGTGCGGTGGCGGGCTCGGGGAGCGGAACCAAGCTTGTCAAGGACGCACAGAGGATGGGTCTGGAGGATGGCGAGCGATCTGGGTGCAAGTGGTGCACTCCAGGCGTATACCACACCCATTGTTAGACGGCGTGAAAATTCAAGTATTAGCGAAACATCCATCCATCGTTCGAATGCGGGCTGCCAGGGGCAGATTAGAGGTGGTGCGCCGAGATGAGAAGAAAGACCTTGTATGTAGGTAGAGAGGGAGCTGCTTATACCTCTGGTACGTAGGATGGCCGAACGAGACGATAGTCGGGAATAAACAAAGAAGGATCTGCAACGCACGAAGACAGAGGGAAAAAGCGCACGGGCGCCATGGTTTCTTCAATTCGGCTTCGGCCGCGACGCTGGCCACGCCCTGTCTTTGCTCGATCTGCTGCGAGCCCGGTTCTTCGCGGCCCGCCTCGCGCGTGGACGGGGCCATCTCCGCGCGGCGGATGGGCACCATGAAGGAATGGGTGTCCGACCAGCTCATGAGCTTGCTCGGGTACTCGGAAAACTTTCTCACCGATTACGTGACCAACCTCGCCTCGTCGGAAAAGTCGGCCGCGGCTCTCCTCGCCAAGCTGCACGCGGCCGATGTGCCAAACACGCCGGCGACACGCAAGTTCGCGGAGGACCTCTTCGCGCGGGCGCCGCGTAAGAGCGGCGGCGCCGCGGCACAGCAGAAGGCGCGCGCTGCCGCCGACAAAAAGGAGAAGCTCGACCTGCTCAAGCAGAACGCGGAGTACGGGCTCCTCGATGACGACGACGACGAGGCGGCGGAGACCGAGGCGGCGGTGCAGCGCGCTCTCAAGGAGCGGCAGCGGGCGCAGCGCAAGCGAAGCCGCGCTGCGGGCGACGAGGCGGCCGCTGCCGCGCCGGCCGCGCCGAGCTCCGAGGGAGCGGAGGCGGCCGCGGCGGCTGCGGCGGACACGGAGCGCGCCCGCGACCTGGCGGAGCGCGACGAGTTCGCGGAGCGGCTGCGGCAGCGCGATCTGGAGAAGACGCGCAAGCTGGGCGGCGACGCGCTCGCCGTGGTCGGCCGGCGCGAGGACGAGGCGCGGCTGCTCAAGGCCAACGACGAGGAGAAGGCGAGCGTGCTGGAGCAGCTGCGAAAGGTGTCGCGGCAAGTGTACCTGGAGAAGCGCGAGAAGCAGAAGCTGGAGGAGGCGCGCGACGACGTGCGCGACGAGGAGTACCTCTTCGGCGACGTCGAGCTGACCGCGCGCGAGAAGGAGGAGCGCGACCTCAAGAAGCGCCTCTACGACCTCGCTAACGAGCGCGTCAACATCTCGGACAAGGTGGAGCGGTACACGATGCCGTCCGCGTACGACGACCTCGAGGGCGGCGCGCGGCAGGACGAGCGCTTCGACGGGCTGCTCGCTCGCTACCAGGAGGAGGAGGGCGAGGAGATGAATGAGTTCCAGGCGTGGGACGCCACGCAGATCAAGCGCTCGACGGCGCGGGTCGGAGCCGCTGATCGGCGGGGCAAGGGCGCGCAGATGGGCGAGACGGGAGGCAAGGAGTACGAGCTCGTGATGGCGACCGAGGAGCAGATCGACTTCATCGCCGACGAGATCATCGCAGGCAATCTCGGCGAGCCTGGCGCAGACGCGCCGAAGAAGAAGCCGTCCAAGAAGGACTCGCTCGCGGAGGCGACCAGCCGCCTCGCCCGCCTCGCCCGCCTCGCCCGCCTCGCCCGCCTCGCCCGCCTCACTCCCCTCACTCCCCTCACTCCCCTCACTCCCCTCACTCCCCTCCGCCCCCTCCCCTCCGCCCCCGCCCCGGCACGCCGCGCCCCCGCCGACGCGCCCCGCCTCGCTCCCCCCGCCTCACTCCCCCCCGCCTCACTCCCCCCGCCGGCCGTGCCGCAGGTGCGCAAGACCCTCCCCGTCTTTCCGTACCGCGAGCAGATCATCGAGGCGGTGAACAGCTACCAGTGCCTGATCATCGTCGGCGAGACAGGCTCCGGCAAGACGACGCAGGTGCCGCAGTACCTGATGGAGGCGGGCTACTGCGAGGACGGCAAGAAGATCGGCTGCACGCAGCCGCGCCGTGTGGCCGCCATGTCCGTCGCCGCCCGCGTCGCCGAGGAGGTTGGCTGCAAGCTGGGCAACGAGGTTGGCTACTCGATCCGGTTCGAGGACTGCACCTCGGAGCGGACCGCGCTCAAGTACATGACGGACGGCATGCTGCTGCGCGAGTTTCTCGGCGAGCCCGACCTCGCCTCCTACTCGGCGATGATCCTGGACGAGGCGCACGAGCGCACGCTCCACACCGACGTCCTCTTCGGCCTGCTCAAGGACATCGCGCGCTTCCGGCCGGACATCAAGCTGCTAGTCTCGTCGGCGACGCTCGACGCGGCAAAGTTCTCCGAGTACTTCGACGACGCGCCCGTCTTCAACATCCCGGGCCGCCGCTACCCGGTCGACATCCTCTACACGAAGGCGCCCGAGGCGGACTACCTCGAGGCGGCGGTCGTGACGGTGCTTCAGATCCACATCACGCAGGGGCCGGGCGACATCCTCGTCTTCTTCACGGGGCAGGACGAGATCGAGTCGGCGCAGGAGACGCTGCAGCACCGCACGCGCGGCTTCGGCACAAAGATCGCCGAGCTCATCGTCCTCCCCATCTACGCCAACCTGCCGTCCGACATGCAGGCAAAGATCTTCGAGCCGACGCCGCCCGGCGCGCGCAAGGTGGTGCTCGCGACCAACATCGCCGAGACGTCGATCACCATCGACAACATCATCTATGTCATCGACCCGGGCTTCAACAAGATGAACTCGTACAACCCCCGCACCTCGATGGAGTCGCTCATCGTCACGCCGGTCGCAAAGTCGTCCGCGAACCAGCGCGCCGGCCGCGCGGGCCGCGTCGCCCCCGGCAAGTGCTTCCGGCTGTACACCAAGTGGGCCTACCTGAACGAGCTCGAGGACAACATCATCCCGGAGATCCAGCGCACCAACCTCGGCTCGGTGGTGCTCATGCTCAAGTCGCTCGGCATCAACGACCTCATCCACTTCGACTTTATGGACCCGCCGCCCGCGGAGACGCTCATCCGCGCGCTCGAGCAGCTCTACGCGCTCGGCGCGCTCAACGACCGCGGCGAGCTGACCAAGCTCGGGCGGCGGATGGCCGAGTTCCCGATGGACCCGCAGGCCTCGAAGACGCTGCTCTCCGCCGAGCCGTACGGCGTGGTGGCCGAGGTGCTCTCCATCTGCGCGATGCTGCAGATCGGCGCCTCCATCTTCTACCGGCCGAAGGAGCGCGCGATGCACGCCGACAACGCGCGCAACAACTTCAACCGGCCGGGCGGCGACCACTTCACGCTGCTCAACGTGTGGAACCAGTGGGCCGAGACGCAGTACTCGACGCAGTGGTGCTTTGAGAACTTCATCCAGGTGCGCTCGATGCGCAAGGCGCGCGACATCCGCGAGCAGGTCGAGGCGCTCTGCGAGCGGGTCGAGCTCGAGGTGACGTCCGACCCGCAGGCGACGGATGGGGTCGCGAAGGCGGTCACGGCGGGCTACTTTTACCACACGGCGCAGCTGCAAAAGACGCTCGACTACCGGACCGTCAAGCACCCGCAGACGGTCCACGTCCACCCGTCCTCGACGCTGCACGGCTCGCAGCCACGGTGGGTAGTCTACCACGAGCTCGTCTTCACCACCAAGGAGTTTATGCGGCAGATCATCGAGATCAAGCCCGACTGGCTCGTCGAGATCGCGCCGCACTTTTACCAGCGGAAGGACATCGAGGACGACGCGGGCAAAAAGATGCCCAAAACCGCGGGCAAGGCGGCCGCGGCGGGCGGCAGGGGGAAGGCGTCGGTGACATGACGCCGCGAGGGCGCCGGCGGGGGCCGCGCCCAAATAAATCACGTACAGTACACACGCCCGACCGTGATCTCCGTGAGAGCGCCGTGTGTCCCTCTCGAGCGCGGGCCGCGGGGGGGGAAATGTCGATCTCCGAGACTTTGCACACATACCGTATCGCGTCGATAGTATCGTGATAGAAAAGACGCAAATGTTTTGGCGTGTGTGGTTCCCTCTTCAAGGAGCGCCTAGGCCCTGCGCGACGTCGCCGGCGTGACTCAGCCAGCGCTCGAGGCTCTCCAGCTGCCGCTCGCGCACCCACTCGCCGCGCTCCCTCGGCGTCGCAAGGCGATGAGGCTGCGACGAACCGGCCGGCTCCGACTTCTCGGCCACCGCCGCGGCTCGTCGGGCGCGCCGCGTTGGCCGACGGGGCCGCGAGGTGAGCAGAGGCGGTGCAAGCGCCTGGAGGTCAGCGCCTCGCCCCTCTCCCTCCTCTCGCGTGGACATCTCCCGCAATGAGTGCGGGCGGCGCCTCTTCCGCTGCCGCCTCGCCATCCTCTCCGACGGCGGCAGCGAAGCGCAGCAAGGACGAGCGCTGCCGAGCGTCGAGCCGCACCTACTCTCACCGGCCGCCCCCCTGCACACTCCACGCAGGCAGGGCGCGGCGCGCAGCGCGGCGGTGCGATCCTATCTCCTCGGCTCGGCTCAGGCGCGGAGGAAGGGAGGGGGCGGGTGTGCTGCAGCACACGTCTGTCAGCAGCGCCTGCTCGCACGTCGCGACATGAGAAGCGCACCGCGCCACTCCTCGCCGCCCTGGGAGGCCCTCTCGTCGCACCTCAGCAGTCGGGTCGCCGCTGTTCGCGACGCCGCCTTCGCGGGTGCGGATCGCTCGCCGCAGCCTCTCGGCGAGGAGCACTCTCTGCCACGTCCGCTCGGCGAAGGGCGCGGCGCCGGACTTGCGAGCGTGCTTCCTGCGCCGCCGCTCGTGCCAGCGCGAGGCGCGCTGCGCTATGGCGAAGCGGCCTACAGGTGGGCAGCGGGTCTGGCGGAGGCGGCTGTCTAGCTCTGCGCCGCAGAAGGACAGGGCTACGGAGGGCGTGCTCCCCCTCGAGGGCCTCGCCGCCACTTGCCTCCTCCTGCGCGCACTCCGCTGCCTCCCGCCCATGGCGCAGCATCGCCACGAACTTCCGCGTCCCGAGGAGCCTCAGCGCGCCTCGCCCTGCGCCAGACGAGGCGGCCGCGTGCTTGGCTCGGAAGATGAGCTCCCGGTCCGTGGTCACGACGCACACCCGCTCGCCACCCTTGAGCAGGAGCGGCACCTGTGCCGCGATCATGTCGTCCGCTGACTGTCGCGGCCCGGCAAAGCCGTGCTCAAGGCCGCGCGACGTGAGCGCGTCGGGCTTGCAGCCATGGTCCCAAACCAGGTGCACGCGGCCTCGAAGGCCATTCGAGTGAGCCCACGCCTCGGCAAGGTCCACCAGCGCCCCGGTGGTCAGCCGAAAGGCGGTCGCGCCCCGCACGTTGTTGGCGTCGACCAGGAGGCAGGTCGGCACCGCGGTGAGCTCTCGCACGGCAGACGCACACTGCGAGCCGGGCAGCGTCGGCCACGCAGTGCTGCGAGAGGCGGAGGCGGATGATAAATGGGCGCAGAGGACCGCAAAGACGACGCGGGTGGCAGAGCGCGAAGCCGGATCCGTGTACGGTCGGTACAGCATGCCGGCGCGGTGACAGCTTGCGCGAGAAGAGGCACTCGCCGTGGGCGGAGCCTCGAAAAGAGCCGACTCGAGAGGGCTTACCTCGGAGATGTAACACCAGGATGGCTGTGCTGGCTCCTTCACAGCCATCTTACCTAAGGATGGCTGAGCTAGCTACAGTGCAGCCACATCCTTCACTTAGTAGACATGGCTGGAGACGCACTACCGCAGCCACACCGCCCGCCTCGAGGTGAGCCCTCTTGGCTGACCTGGCTTACATTGCAGCCATCTTGGGAAAGATGGCTGGGGGACAGCCATTTCAGCCATTTCAGCCATCTACTATGGCTGCGTCATAGAGATTGCAGCCATCCTCCAGAGCCATGGCTGGTGGTAATTCGATGGCAGCCGGCCGACGGCAGCCGTCCCGCGAGGCCGGGCGGGGGGCGACAAGCGCGCAGCCATTTGTGCGTGTGGCGGGGGAGGCGGACGGCTGCCATCGAATTATCACCAGCCATGCTCCGGAGGATGGCTGCACTGACTGTGCCCCAGCCATAGTAGATGGCTGAAATGGCTGTCCCCACAGCCATCTTACCCCAGATGGCTGCGATGTAGCCAGCTAACTAAGCCAAGAGGGCTCACCTCGAGGCGGGCGGTATGGCTGCGGTAGTGCGTCTCCAGCCATGTCTACCAAGGAATGGCTGCCGTGTGTGTATTGCAGCCATTACACTGGAGGATGTGGCTGCACTGCAGCTAGCTCAGCCATCCTTAGGAAGATGGCTGTGAAGGAGCCAGCACAGCCATCCTGGTGTTACATTCCGAGGTTAGCCGTCGCTGTCGTCTCCATGATCTGCTTCGCCGCGTCGGCTGTTGCAGTGTCTTCGCCCCTGGTCGCCACCAGCGCGGCTGCAGCGCCATCTCTCGCCGCGAGAGGACCTCGAGCGACCATCGCTAGAAACGCTGCAAAGGACGGCGACAGCGTGCTCCTCCTGAGGCTGCTGCAGTTTGGATGGCGGCCAGGCGCGGACCGCGATCGCCGAGGCGCCACTGCCCTGCACCTCTCGGCGGGGCATGGCCACGACTCTTGCTGCGAAGCGCTGCTGCCTTTGCTCGACGTCAACGATCACACTCGGGAGGGCGCCACGCCGCTCCACTTCGCGGTCGCAGGGATGAAGTCGCGGCGTGGGCGCGGCGGTCAGAACGGCTTCGGGACAGGCGGCCACGTTGGCACCGCGAGGCTGCTCCTCGACCGAGGAGCCGACCCAGCTGCTGTCACCTCCGACGGCAACTCGGTCGTCCACTGGGCGGTGCGCGCTTCTCGCCGCTCGTGTTTTGCGTGCGAGACGTGAGTGGACCGTGACTTGTGCAGGCGTGGGCGGGCGGGTCGAAATTGCTCCGGCTGCTCTGCGAAGAGCACGGGCAGGCGGCAGCGGCGGGAGCGCCAAACGTGAGGGGATGCACAGCGGCCCACTGGGCACGCCGCCGCGCCTCGATCCTCCGCCAGCAGCCGGGCGGGCACGCTGCTTGAGGCAGTCCTGAACCGCCGTCAGGCGGCCTCGAGCGGTGCTCTCTCCTCGTGCAAGTACCTCGCCGAGAGCTGCGGGCTTGACTTTGGCGCTCCCAACGCCGAGGGCGCGACGCCACTCACAAAGGCGGTCGTCCAGTCCCGCCCGCCGGTGCGGGCGCAGGCTCTGCCACCTCGCTGCGCCGCCCGCCTACCGACGCGGCTCGACTTCGCTGCAGGTGGTGGAGTGGCTGATCGCCTCGCCGCACTGCTCGCTCGCTGACCTCCGCGAGGCTGCCGCACTGGCGAGCCGCCTCGAGAAGCGCCGCACCACCGCCGACGCGGCGCGCGTCGCCGCGTTGCTGCGCGCGTCGTCTTCACTGCGGTTGCGGGGTGGCTTTGCCCGCTGCATCGCTCCCCGTCCGTCGCTTCAGGCCGCGGCCCCGCCACGCGCCTCTCCTCGTGCCGTGTTGCCCGACGCGCCTGAGGAGGACGATGGCGTCAGTGCGCCGCCGCCCAGCGAGGGCGACGACCTCGGTGATTTTGGCCTCCGTCGCGGCTTGGGCGTGGCGGTCGACGCGGTCCTGCCAACGAGGCTCGTGCGCTATTGCTAGACGTCCTTCTCACGCCCTTGCGGTGCGGACAGGTGATCGTCGCGTGGAGCGTCGTCATCAACGTGTTTGGCGTTGCGTTTGGGTTTGTGCCGCCCACCGTGTTCTCCCAGTTTTGTGGGTTGATGAGGCTGAGCATGTGATAGGCTCGGATTGCTTCTGAACATCTCGGGCTACGGCTACCGCGTTCGATTCGACCCGCCCTCGCTCGAGATTTCATCGCTCGCCAGGATGCGACAGTCAAATCTCGAGGCAAGATACTTTGCCCCGGGAGGCGCATTCGAGGAGCTCACAGAGCCCTAGCGCGCCCCTAAGTCTTCTTGGTTGTTTGCCCTCTTTGGTGGTGGAGCCGCGAGAGGGACTGTGGGTGTGGCTAGCGAGAGTGACACTCGAAACTAGGGATCCCTACGTCAAACTCAAAGGAATGAGAGCTGCCACATACGAGACAGTGGTGGGACAGAGTAAACACGTATACCAGGAAGAGAAAAGCAGTTCAACCAAAGCCGGCCCCCGACTGCTGAACAGTCGCGCCCCTTGTTGGTTGTTCTCTCCGCTCTCGCGTACGCGCGATGGAAGTTGGAAGTGTTCGACACCCCGATATCCCCGTGTGTGTACGGGGTTCTATGAGAGGACCTGGATCGCGAGAGGCAAAAGTGGGAAAACTTTGAAAGCTGACATCCTCGGGCGCTACTTGCCGTACACGACCGCCTCATAATGGCGGAGGAGCGCTTCTCGGCATCGCAGCTCCGTCTCCACCTGCTTGTCGTATCGCTGGACGAGCTCCGGCCATAGCGCGTTGTCTTGCAAATTTAGAGGGGGTCCTAGAGGGAGCGCTCCGTCAGTGGCAGCTCATATGAGCTCAGTACACGACAATACAGCGGTACGGAGGTGTCGCAGAGAAAGATCATTACGCAGTATTGTAGCTCTAATATACAGAACACCGTACTTGACTGTTGACACGATATCTCTCGCGCATTATCTGACACGACAACTATCAACTTGACAAAACACTCTAAGGCGGACTAAGCGCGCTTGCTTCCCTTCGAATTTGAGCTCAGATAGCTGACTTGCAGCCACGTACGTGGTACCGGGAGCTCCGGCTACAGCGTACAGGATTGAATCGCCATCAGACTGACTGTTTGCACGACGTCGAAGACGCGACGCGGAAGCCTACACCGCCGTGGTCTGCCTCGGTCTCATCGGTGGCTCTGGCTCGGACCACCGGCTGTGGGCTGCCATCGGGCTTGGCGAGGGAGGCACCCTCCTCGGAGCGCGGCCCGATCGCGGCGAGGAGAGGCATGAGGAAGAGCATAGACCACACGAAGGCGAAGGAAACGGTGAGGAGGAAAAACGAGCCAAATTTGGACAGGAACTGGAGCTGGCACAGTGAGAGCGCGAGGGCCGCAACAAAGGAGGTGGCCATCCCCCAGAAGACTGAGATGCCCATGTCGCGCAAAGCGTCATGAGTCCGGGCCAGCGCTGCGCCCGACCCCGACTCCATGTATGAGTGCGCCAGGTGCACGACATAGTCGACAGCAAAGCCAGTGAGAGTCATGAAGCAGAGTGCCTCCGAGCTGCCGAGCTGCCAGCCCATCGCGACCGTGCAGCCGATCACTGTGAGCAGTACCGACGCGATGGAGACCATGCAGAGGAACGAGGCGATGAAGTTGCGCGTCGCGCAGAGCAGCACAACCGCGGCGACCGCGAGGCCGACGCCGACGCCGACGGCGGCCATCCGAGTGTAGAGCTCCTGCAACACCATATAGACCCACTTGTTGGCCGTGCCCTCTTCCTCAAGCGACTGCATCGCGAGGCCGAGCGAGGCGGTGGCGTTCGCGTTGAGCCCGTCAAGCCACGCCTCCCACTTCTCGTAGTATTCGCTGCGAATCTCGTTCGCTGGGAAGAAGGCGTTCTTGTTGAGTTTGGTCCCGGCGCGCACGCGTGTCCACAAAATGGTTGCCTGCCCCAAAGAGTCCGCGAAGCCGAGATCCTGCGACCAAGGAAACTCGTTGCCACCAGCGACGACTGCATCGCGCCAGTCAAGCACGGTCTGCACCACGTTGCTCTGAACTGGGAAGCTGGAACTCTGCGCCCCTTCAACCCACTCACGAAACGCCCGTATCCAGCACCACACCTCTTTGTGCTCCGTGTCGTCGACCGAGCTCAACTTGGAGAACACAAGGTCGGAAGCCTCGAGGCGCGCGCACGCGTCGAGCATCGCTTCCTGCGCAGCGGCGTCGAGCGCAAAGCTCGGGTTGTAGTTGACGGAGCCTTTGTCCTCGGGGTCGAGGAGGCGATTGACTCCACCGGTGTCTAGCGGCGCGCTTTCGTCGATGCCCCACACGATGGAGACGACAACGGTTTCGTCCTCGTTGCTGGTGTAGAATTGCGCGTTTGCGTCGGTGAAGCGCTGGAACGGGTGATCGTCGGGAAGGAATTGCTGAGGGTTGGTCTGCGGCTCGAGCAGCGACACCTGCCAGATCATCGGCCCTAGCACGGCTAGCATGAGCACGATCGAGGTTGCGCGGGACCATCGGTTGCGGATGATGCGAAATGGAAACCCATCCTCGAAAAAGCGGGTGAAGCGTGACTTTGCGACGCTGGCCGCGCCGCCGCTCTGCGCGACCTGCGTGCTCGTTGCCAGCTCCGCCCTCTCGTACGTGCAGAGGAGGTCGCAGCCGCCATGGGCATGCCTTGATCCAGACTACGCGGCTGATCTGCAGATGATGGCAATGACAGGTTTTGGTGAGCTAACAGGGCCCCGGTTCTCCGACATCTTCGTCGCCATCCGCTCGCACTTTGGGTTTGTCGCTGCTGCCCCCGCAGATCGTAGTTTATGGTGGTTTAAAGTTTGCGGGGGGGGGACGGGCCCTGTTCACGCGCGCGCGAGACGTGCAGACAGGGTTGCCAGGTGAGAGCGAATGGCGCGGTTCACGCCTCGCACTGGTCGCACAACAGAGAGAGAGATGCGCTCTGCATGGTGGGACATAAAAGAGAGCGAGTACTTGGGCGAGTAGGCTGTGCGGTCAACGCTGCCGCGCGCGACTTTGCGCGCGAGGCGGCGCAGCAGAAGTGAAATCCAAAAAATAAAATAAACGACACACGGCGCCTCAACGCGCAGCAGCACCGCAAAAGAAATACACCACAAAACATTCGCGGCCTCAGATGCTCTGCGAGTGCGGCATGGGCGACGACTGGGACCCGGGCAAATGCTGCTGCCTAAGCGGCTCCACAAATATCAAACAACACGAAACAATGCGTATCTAGATAAAGACAGACACACACATACACGCACGGTGTACCCGCACGTACTGACATATGCGCCTGAGCCTATCTACTGAACGCCGAAAAACTGAACGCCGAAAAACCTGCGCCGCGGGCCACTAATGGGGTTTTGGGGTTGCACTAATGGTCAAAGTACATCTCGTACCCGGTGCAGATGTGCGGCGACTCGGACGCGGCGAGCAGCAGCTTGGACGCCATCGCTGGGCCGTACTCGCCCGCCGCCCGCTCGAGCGCCGAGGCGACCTCGAGCACAGTCCCAAAGCACTGCGAGCTGCATAGCCCGGAGAACTTGAGCACTTCCCACAGCGACGCCTATGCGGGTCCAGAAGGACACGCGTGTGCGACCTAGCATCTCACTAGACTGCAAGAGGGGCTGCAACGCCGCCGTCTTCGCGCCGAGCACGGCGTGCACCGCGACCCCCTCTCGGTTGTCGCCGGGGAAGACCTGCTGCCGAGCGCGGATCCAGAGCGTCAGCCGGCCGGTGCAGATCAGCGCCGCGGCCTCGCGAAACGCGAGGCACGCGTACGCGGTCGTGCGAACGAGGCGCAGAAACGTCCGGTCGTCGAGAAGCGACTCGTCGAAGCGGTCCATCGTGCGCACCCACGCGAGCAGCAGCTTGCGGATCCATTGGAGCTTCATGCACGAGTCGCTGCCGCTGGTCGACGCGGTGAACGGCAGCCGCGCGCGCATCGCCTCGAGCACGATGGTGGCGGCGTCGACGACCATCTCATCGGTCCACGCCTGTTACAGACGCTCTGCGGTCGACATCGGAGCGGGGCAGTGCCTAGTGTGAGAGAGGGGACCGGAGAGGCAAAGAACTTGGCCTTGGCATCCGCCATGCGCCAGACGGATGCCGACGCCGCCTCCTTCTTCGCCGCCGCCGCGTCCGCCAGCTCCCTCGCCGCAGCCGCCGACTTCCTGGACGTCGGGTCGTCCTCCTTCACGGCGGCCTCTGCCACCTCGGCGGCGGCGGCAGCCTCCTCGGCCTCCTTGCCGAGCGCCGCCTCGGCGGCCTTTGCGTGCTCGTTGGCGGCCCTGAGCTTTGTGCGTGCAGCCGACTGCCTGCCCGTGACGTCGCCCGCTGCGGCGACCGCCGCCGCCGCCGCCGCCTCGGCTGACGGCGCGTTCATCCCAGCCTTGCAAGCGAACGCCCACCAGTCGCACTCGGCCTCGTCCGGCTTGATGGCGTAGTGCCACGCGCACGCGAGCACATACGGGCGGAGGGTCGCCACCTACAACAACACGGCTCGATTCTCCACACCTCTCCCCACCTCTCCCCTTTCACTAGAGGGCGCCGCGCGCCATCTCGAGGGTCGGCTGCGCCACAGCCCGGCTCCACCGGCCGAAAGCATCTGCAGCGCCCTCCGCCTCCACCGCGGCCTCCGCCAGGCCCTCCGCCGCACCGTCCGCCTCTGCCGCGCCCTCTGCGGCGCCCCGCAGCGCTGAGCGCAGCGCCGCCTCGAGCTCGCCCGCCTGCCGATTGTGCGCCTCAGGCATTGCCGCCAGCGCCGCCAGCTCCTCCTCCTGCCCGAAGACGGTGGCCGCCTCGCGCCTGAAGAGGGCATTGCCGGCGCGGCACATCTGCCCCGAATACGCGATGGCATCAGCGGAGGCGGCCTTGCTCGCGGCGGCGGGGTCGGCGGCGCAGCTGCGCATGTAAGTGATGTAGGAGTCGCGGAAGACTTTCGTTTTAAACCCACCCTTGCGGACCCTGCCGTAGATCGGGTGGTTCGTTATCTTGACACGCCAGCGCGGGGCCTCCTGGCGACGGTGCCTCTCCCGTCGCCTTTCCGCCTGCTCATACTCAGCCGCGGTGGGCCCCGGCCCAACCGCCCGCGCGTACTCCACCGCTGCCTCCACCGCCGAATCGAAGGTGCCGATGGTGACCAGCCGTCCGGCCACATTCCGCTCCGCCGAGAAGCGGCCACCTCTCTGGTACACGCCCTTGTAGCCGGTGCTGCTGCTGCTCGAGAGGTGCAGCTGCAAGCCCTCCGCCTCTGCCGCCACCTCCGCCGCCCCCTCCTCCTCCCCTTCCTCCTCTCCTCCCTCCTCTCCCTCCTCCTCTCCCTCCTCCTCTCCCTCCTCTCCTTCCTCTCCCTCCTCCTCTCCTTCCTCCTCTCTCTGCTCTCCCTCCTCCCCCTCCTCGCCCTCCTCGCCACCCTCCTCCTCTCCCTCCTCGCCACCCTCCTCCTCCGCCGCCACCCCCTCTCCCCCTGCGTGGCCTCCGTGCCAACCTCTCTTGCATACGTACAGGCCACCGGCCAAAGCGTCCTTCTCCTCCTCCTCCGCCCGCGCCGCCCGCTCCCGGTAGTCAGGCAGGTGGCTCTTTGCCTCCGCGTCCGCGTAGGCCTCTGCCGCCTACGGCAAGGAGATGCAAAGGGTCTGAAGAAAGTCCGACGCCTCGATTGCCAGAGTCTTTCACGCCGTGCCTCCCGCGCGGTGGCAAAGTAACCGAGGTGCTCGAAATGGCCAACCTGCGCGTGGCAAAAGACGGCCTGGAACGGCTCCAGCGGCGTCGGCTCGCCCGGCTTCCAAGACAGCCGTAAGCGAATGCCGTCCAAGCCTGTCTCAAAGGCGTCGCTCCAGCGCAGCGGCCGCCCGCCCGCCTCCTCGAGCCCGATCCCGTCGAGCAGCGCCTGCCTGCGGGCGGCGTGCTCCGCCTCCACCTTCGCCTCCGCCGCCTTGATCGCCTCGATCGCCGCCTCCTCCTCCGCCGCCTGAGAGCATGCCGCCCGCTTCTAGATCTCAGCTAGATCTCGGCTTGAGCTCGGCGAGATCTCGGCGAGATCTCGGCTGGAGGCTGCCTTCTGCTGCGCTTGACCCTCTTCTCGACGTCGCGCAGCAGCTTCTGGACAACGGCACGCGCCTCCTTGTCCTCGCCCTTCGACGCCGGCGCCGCCTCCTTCGCCGCCTTCGCCGCCTCCTGAGACAAGAGCGGGCCAGATTCCGGCTAGATCTCGGCGACATCTCTCGGCCGGCGATCTCGGCTCGATCGCGGCTCGATCTCGGCCGATCTCAGCGTGGATCGGGGCTACTGCGCCTTCTCTGCCGCCTTCTCTCTCTCTCCCTCTCTCCCTCTCTCTCTTCCTCTCTCCCTCTCTCCCTCTCTCCCTCTCTCTCTCTCTTCTCTCTTCTCTCTCCTCCTCGCGCTTCGCTGCCCACGCCGTCGCCTATGAGAAGAGCCGGCTCGACCTCGGCTCGATCTCAGCCGATCTCAGATTCAGCTCAGCTATGGCACCTTCTCCGCCAACGTCTTCTCCGCTGCCGCCCACGCCGCCGCCGCCGCCGCCTTCTCCGCCTCCGCCCACGGCAAGCGTACGCGGATAGTCGAGCCGGGCGCGCAGCCGGCCGGGACACGGACGTGCATCACCCCCCCCGCCGCGGCGATCTGCAAATACTGCCCGGGGCACCACCCCTGCGGGATTCTCACCACCAAGGAGCCGGCGGGCCTCGGTCGGGCGGCGGGCGGCGGAGGGGCGGGCGGCTGATGGGCCGGCGCCTGCTTCTTGGGGCACCGGCGCTCGTGATTCGTCTTTCCGGCCGCGGTGCCGAACGGGCGGCCACAGTGGACGCAGTGGACGCACTTTGGCCCGCCCGGCAGCGTCTGCGAGAGGGAGAGGGACCGGGGCGTCAATCGTGGGTGCCCGAGGGCGCAGAGAGCGAGAGGCGGCCCCGGCCAGAGCGACATGTGCGCCGGGACGGGGGCGAGAGGGCGGCGACGGCGCGCGCCTGGCCGGAGGCGCGGCCGGAGGAGGCGCCGGCGGCCGCAGTCTCGCCAGGCACAGTCCCGTTGCGCGTGAGGCCGCCACTGCAAGGGCGGGAGCGGGGGTGGCTCAGCTAGCAGGCGAACGCGGGAGGCTCCGCCTGTGTGCTACTCTACGCGCGAGGTCCTGCCGGCAACGCCGATCCCGCGCACGCGTTTAGCAGGTGGCTGCGTGTCGCATCCGCCGGGCGAGGCAAGGCCGTCTCCTGTCCTCGCCGAAACTGTCGCCTGAGCGACGCAAGGAGCGAGCTAGGCTGAAGGATGGAGAAGGACGGGGCAGAGCGCCTCGGACAGGCCGAGATGCAAGCAGCAGCGCACCGTCTCGACGGTGGTTGAGGTAAGCGGCGGCGGCGGCGCCGCAGCGGAGCCGCCGACCGTCCGACCGCCGCTCGAGCGAGGCGACCCGAGTCGAAGTGGCTGACTGAAGGCCAAAGTCGGGGCGGAACGCGGGGCGGGGCGAGCGTATAGGTCGTGCGCGTCGTGAGCCAACGATGCGAGCGCCGTCGGTGGGTTGAAATACCCGGGTGGCGGCGTCGTCGGCAACTGCCATTCCGGGACTTCGGACGCCATCGTTCCCGCACAATGTCACGCCTGCGTGCAGCAAGTTAGTAGCAAAGGCACCGCCGCCTGCTCGCTGCTCGCATCTGCGGGCGCGGCCGCGGGTGAGCTCAGCGCGGCGAGAGCTCGTGAAGCTGGCGGATGCAGCGACGAGGCTGCCATCGCAGCGCCGCCGCTGCATCCTACCTGTGAGCCGCTGCTGCAGCGCCGCCGTAGCAGACGAAGCCGAAGTGCGCCGCTGGCAGTGCATGAAGTCGAGAGTGCGGTGCAGCGGCGGAAGCGGTGGCGGACGCTGGTAGACTGCCGCCGCCGCCGCTCTCACGCCGAGCTGCATACGCCTCAGCGCACAGCGGCGGCCGCTCGCGAGAGCCACAAAGCAGAGCGCCGCAGATATATCCACATGAGAAAAAAGAATTTAAGAATGCGAAGAATCCGGAAAAAAGGCTTTGCTCACATGGACAACCAAGAACTGGCACGGCCTGCAGATGCAGCGTCTGTCTGTCGTCCTCCACACCGCTGTGGCCGCGTGGCAGACGGGACGGTGAGCGAGCTAGCGTGCGGGGAGAGCTGCATTGTGCATGGCGCGCGGCTGGAGGCAACGGAGAAAGAGGCTTGGTGGAGCGGCGAGGCGATTCTTAGGAATTTCGAGGCGCGGGAAAATCCGACAGCCCTGCAAAATCAAGTATACGCTACTTTCGTTAACCACACTATGCGAGTACGGCGCCTTAAGGTGACTCATCATATGTGTGTGTGTTTGTAATCGCGTGCGGGCGTTTTCTTTAGGGATCCCTACCTTCGGCGCCTTTGTGGCCTCGGTCACCTAAAGCGCGGGAGACTGAGGCGGGAAGGATGTCATACATCCCAGACCCGCCCAACCCGCCGCCTCCCTACCCGCCCCACCCGCCGCCGACCATACCATCGCCCCCCGACCCACCCCACCCGCCGCACCCTCCTCCGTCGCCGCCGCCAACTCCGCCGCCGCCGCTGCTGCCGCCATTGCCAATGCCGCCCCCGAGCTTCCCGCCAAGATCCCCGCCGCTGCCGCCGAGCGAGCCGCCTCCGCCTCTGCCGCCGGCGTCGCCACCGTCTCCGCCTCTGCCGCCTTCAACGCCGCCCTCACCGCCGCCGTCCTCTCCTCCTCCGAGCCCGCCGCCAGACGCTCTGCATCGGTACCGCGCAGGAATCGCAGCAATGCCTGGGCCGGCGGCGGCGGCCGTGTCTGCGTGCGGACCCGCGTCGGACTTCGGCCGCTACTACGCTCCGCTGTGCGCGTGCGGCCTCCTCTCCTCGGACGGGGTCGGCTGCTGCGCAGAGAGCTGCGGCGTCTGCGATGCGAGCATGGACTGCCGCCGCCGCCGCGGCGGGAGGGAAATGTGCTGCGAGTTCGCGCTCAAGACGCGCCGGGCACCGTGTCGCACGCCGGGCGAGGTCGGCTGCATCGTCGTCAGCTCTCCGCCTTTGCCGCCGCCGCCGCCGCTGCCGCCAAGCCCGCCGTCGCCCGAGCCATCCCCGCCGCCCCCGCCGGCCCCGCTAACGCCCGAGCCCTTCCCACCGCCGGCGCCCCCGCCGGGCCTGCCGCCGCCGCCGGCGCCTCTACCTCCAGATCCCTCCCCGCCGCCGCCGCCCACTCCACCCTTTCCGCCCCCTGCCCCTCCGCCGCCGCCTTCGAGTCCACCGCAACCGCCCTCCCCCCCTCCGCTGCCGCCGCCGCCGCCGCCGTCCCCGCCGCCGCCGCCGCCCCCCCCTTCCCTGCTTAGCG